TCTGAGTGGTTGTCTGCCAACTAAAAGGTCTGTGATTTGAACAGACTAGCTACCCTGTAAAAGAAGACGTGGCAGTCTACTTCTATAAAGAATAAAGCCTTGGAAACCCTAAGGGCCTTTTTATTCTGTTCTGTAAGGTCATTTTGAATTGGAATCAACTTGATAGCAGTGGGGTGTTTTGGTCGTTTGTTTTTTTTTTAATATTTGCTATTCTTTTTCTAGGTGGTGGGAATACAATGCTGAACAAACCCAAGTGGTCTCTACTTTTATGAAGCTTACATTTTAATTACAGGTAGTCACTCATTTATGTGTATTTATTTGGCTTTTTTGTAATATTTATTGCAAGAACAACAATAATTATTATAGCTTTGCAGAGTTTTTATTCTCTTAATCTGTAAAGACCAAGATTAGATTTATAAAGATAATAATCAATAATGTTGAAAATTTGGGGGGAAGGGAGCCAGTGGTTTATGTCAGAATCGTCTTTCAATAGACTAGAGTTGTCTGTATGAAACCTTGTGTTAAGTTGGGACTGGATAGTCTACTTGAGGATGTGGGAATCTTGGTGACACAGTGGCTAAGTGCTCAACTGCTAACTGAAAGAGCAGTTCTTTGAATCACTGGTGGCTCCACAGAAGATCTGATAGTCTTTTCTTGTGAGCATTACAGCCTACAGAAGGGTTGTTCCACTTTATACTGTAGAGTCATTATTTTTCTGAATTGCCTTAACAACACACATGACACCCTGGGGATGTAACTAATAATTGTGGAGCAAAACCAAATAAAATAATTTGCCCACATTGTGATTAAAGTGATATTCAGAAAAAAGCAGTTTTGTGCAAGCTTGAAGATCCAAAATGTATAGGTCTGAAAATACAGATGTACAGTGCATTATTTAAAATCCTTGATGCCAGAAGTGGTATTTTGGCTTTCAGGTGGAGTTGGTAGAACACCCCCTTCCCCTCCCCCATTGTGTATTTGAGTAGCACAAATTAGACAAATATGTTTATAGGTCTGCAGTAAAGTGTGTTAAGTATTCACAAAAACTGCAGTAATTAAGTCCCTAGATCAAGTTAAGTATTGCTACTAATGTGTTCTAAAATTTGTTTTTCAGAATGTTTTGGATTTCAGGATTATGAACTCTCATTAGAGAGAACGTAGTATTTGCAGTATTAGAAAGAAAGCATACAACACAGAAGTAAAAATGAACATTCTTTATTAAGGGTAGTTAATACAGAATTGACTAAAAACAGATGTGTATAAGAAAAAATAAGTGTGACTAGTAAAGGTAAACTCAGATTCTTTACAGCCATTATAAAGTATTAAGATGCACATGGTAGACAGCGAGAAACATTTTATTCTTAGAGTGACATGATTGTGGAAGTACTTTTTGTGTGTGTGATAGAAGAATATACACAAATTAAAACAATTTAGTCATAGGTGTTTGTTAGGTAACTATTTAAAAGTATAATAATTAAAATCTCGGGTTTTTTTCTTAAGCTTTTAGTATATGCCAATCATTGAGCCAGACATTTTATTTACACTCCTTGTCAGGACTGTAGAACAACTGTAGCATAATCTTTATCCTTGAGAATCTTACTTTGTTGGAAAGGAAAGTGTTAATGTTGTTGTTGTTGTTGTTGTTGTTGTTAGGTGCTGTGAAGTCCCATAAGACTCACTGTGACCATATGAACAAAAGAGCTGCACCCTGTTCTGTCCTGTGCCATCTTCACCCTTCTCACTGAAGCAGTCAGTCACTGTGTCAGTCCACCTGTTTCGGGTCTTCCTCTCCTTCTCTGACCCTCCACTTTTCCTAGTATCATGTCCCTCTCCAAGGAATAGTCCATTTTAAAGTTGGGTGGGCCTTGACCAAGTCTCTCCTTTGGAGGCTCATTTGCAGCAGTTGAATTCTGGAGGGTAGATTCTCTTTGTTTAGTTCAAAGTCTTATGTAAACTGTTGGGTTGGTTTTTGTTTTGTTAACAATCTTGTGTAAGCTGATTGGTCCCTGAATTTAGTCAGTATTCACCTGTGGGCTGGAAGCTTTTAGTTTATGTCAATCAGGACCTGGTGGTCAGGCCTTTTATTTTCAAGTTGGTTGGGCCAGAGGGCCTGCTGCAGATTGCGTTTAGGAAGAACGCTGTGGTATAGAACTAGTCTGTCAGTTTGCTGTACTGAAATAATTTAGGGTTGCTGTGATACTGAACGGCTGTGCCACTAGTGTGTCAAATGCCATAATGGTTACTGATGTTGGACAGGGTTTGATAGAGCTCCTAGATTAAGACAGGCTTGGAAACAGGATTGACATCCACTTCCTATACAGCAGGCCTTTGGAAATTCTATGAACATTAGGAAAATTACGACAGTTACAGAAACAGGGTTCAGATTTTTTCTTCATGGGGTCGCTATGTGTTCTATGTGACTCGAGGGCACTTAACAGCAACAATAGCAGCAGCATGCCCAAAGCATGTCAGGCAAAGCCTCATCATTCTTGCCTCCAAAGAGCACGCTGGCTGCACCCTCTCCAAGACATATTTCTTGGCCATTCATCGGGTATTTGGTGCTCTTCTCCAATACCATAGCTCAAAAGCATCAATTCTTCTTTTGAACTTTTTAAGGGATAACATGCTCTCTCTTTTTTTTTTCCTTTGGTTATTATAGAACAGTATCATAGACTTCATATGCAAGCAAGATTCTACTGAAGATTATCCAAAAACCAATGGGACAGCACATCAGCAGAGAACTGTTCGAAGTCCAGGCTGGGTTTAGAAGGAGTCTTGGTACTAGGGATGTTGTAGCTAATGTTAGATGGATCTTAGCTGAAAGCAGGGAATACCAAAGGAATGTCTATCTGTGTTTCATTGATTATGCAATGGTGTTTGACTGTGGGGATCAGAACAAGCTTTGGCTGACTCTGAGAACAATGGGAATCCCAGAACACTTGATAGTGCTAATGCAAAATCTATACTTTGTCAGAACACAGCAAGGAAATACTGCATGGTTCAAAATTGGGAAGGGCGTATGCCACGGATGTGTCCTGTCTCCATTCCTTTTCAACTTGTATGCAGAACAGATCATCCAGGAGGCTGGGCTCTATGAGGAGAAATGTTGCATCAGAATTGGTGGAAGATCTATCAACAATCTGCGTTATGCAGATGACACAATCCTGCTAAAACTGAAGAGGATCTGAAGCACTTGCTTAAGAGGGTCAAGGACTGTAGCCTTCAATACGGATTGAGGCTCAATGTCAAGAAGACAAAGATTCTCACCGCTGGACCAATTGGCAGCATCAAGATAGATGATGAAGAGATTGAAATTGTTCATGGCTTTAGTTTGCTTGTCTCCACAGTCAACACTTTTGGCACCAGTAGCCAGGAAATTAAAAAGACGTATAGGAATGGGAAAGTCTGTTGTTAAGGACCTCTCCAAAATACTGAAGAACAATGGTGTCTCTCTGGAGACTAAGGTGTGTCTGATACAGGCCATGGTCTTTGCAATCACTTGTTACCTGTCAGAGAGTTGGACAGTGACTAGGGAGGATAGAAGGAGAATTGATGCCTTTGAGCTGTGGTGCTGGAGAAGAGTATTGAATATACCATGGACTGCTAAGAAAATGAACAGGTTTATCCTGGAGAAGGTAAAATCAGTCTGCTCCTTGGAGGCAAGAATTCTGAAGCTTCGTCTGACATACTTTGGACATGTTGTTAAGGAGGGACCGGTCCTTGTTGAGGAACATCATGCTTGGGAGAGTGGAGGGATAGCGCAGGAAGGGAAGAACCTCTATTAGGTTGATTAATTCAGTGACTTGGGTAATTGGGATGGGTATATCAGAGACAGTGCGATTGGCACAGGACTGAGTAGAGTTTAGGGCTGTTGTACATAGGGTCGCTGTAAGTCGCAAGTGACTCAACAGCACATAACAACAAGTCTTGGTTCTTGATTAAGTTTTTAAGAAGGGGGAATTGTGTTTTAATTATAATACTTTATTTAATAATTTGTATTCTTTTCTGGCCACTCTTATTAGACTGTAAGTATAATAACTTTAGAATCTGTATCTGTTTTGTTAAGGACTCTTTCTAGAGTATGAAACAGTGTATGGTGCATGGTAGTTACTCAGAAAATTTTCTGAGTGAATGAACAGTTGCATGAATTGGATTGTGTTCTGTCAGCAGAAAGAATTCTAATCTACAACAACTATCCAAAAAAGCTTCTTTTTAAAAAAAATTTTACTGAGATTTTAATGAAAGTTTATAAAAAACTTGGATTTCCATTCATTCATTGTTGCACATTTTCCTCCCTGTCCCTCATCCCTCCAGTTTGCTTCTTTCTTTGGAAAAAAAGTTGTTCTTAATACAGTTAAAAAGCCTCTTGATCCCTTACTCGTTCTAGAAAAGATCGGAACTCTGAAATTAACTCACATCATCATTCTTTACCTTAAATAACGAAAGTTTTATTCAACTACTCTTTTCTTTGGAATGGCATAGTGATATGTGTTACTTTTACATTAGGCTCTATTTGCTTTAGCTCTTAGTTGCCCAAGTAATTTGCTTAAATTCTAACAGATACTTGTACATGCCATGAGAGATTTTTTTAATGGTATCTATGGAATAATAAATTTATTCTTAAATATACTTAATTTTAGATATTGACACATGAATATGGGAAGCTCTGGTAGGGTAGGTCATAGTAAGTTGTGTTGTTAACCCAAAGGCTTTGTGTCTCTGGTGGTTCCAATCCACTAGCAGCTCTGTGGCAGAAAAAGGACAGTTTCTTCCCATAGTAATTTACAGGCTTGGAAATTGGATAGAAGGTTACTCTGAGTCAGAACTGACTTGACAGCAGTAATTTGAGATGAGATGATGGATGTGTGTGTGTGCGCGCGTGTGTTACATCTTCGTGAGAGTGTGTGTGTATATATATCTGTCTCCCTCTCAAACCCATACTCATGCTAATCAGTGATGTACCTCTTTGCTGATAAATGTTTATTATTATCTATCTGCAGAGAAAGAGATGCTGTTTCCAAGTCTTGGAGATCTCTGTTTTTTATGGACCATAATTCTGTAACCTTTTCACACAATTCTTTGGCAATAACGTACGCTTGTGATGGACCCTAGAAATACTGCTATGTTAGGATTGGGTTCTGATTCCGAAGGATTTTCAAGAAAGAGTCCCTCTGTCATCAACACTGGCACGCTGGTCAGCAAGAGAGAACTAGAGTTAGAGAACAGCACAAAGGAGGAAGAAGACCTTCACAAATGGAATCGGGAAAGAAACATTGAAGCAGGAAAAGATGATGGTTTGACTGAAGCACAGCAACAGTTTTCTGTGAAAGAAACAAACTTTTCAGAGGGAAATTTAAAATTAAAAATTGGCCTTCAGGCTAAGAGAACTAAGAAACCTCCAAAGAACTTGGAGAATTATGTGTGTCGACCTGCTATAAAAACAACTATAAAGCATCCAAGGAAAGCACTTAAAAGCGGGAAGATGACAGATGAAAAGAATGAACACTCTGCTTCAAAACGGGTGAGTAGAATTTCCAGGACTATGTAGTCATCAACACTATGTGGAATTCTCTGTTCACTTTTCTCTTCCTATGTTGCCCTGTATTAGAGTCTGTTATATGACCCTGAAATAAGATTTGAGATATGACAGGTGCAAATGATGTCATTCGTGTATATATATATATATATATATATATATATGTATATATATATGTATATGTATATATTTGTAAAACTATAGCAAATATTTAAGTGAAATGATAATGATTATGTGTTGTGGAGTTGGAACCAACTCATAGCTAACCCTCCAGCAGGTAGGTATTCAGAGGCTGTAAATCACCCAAGAGGAAATTGCCCATTCTCCCATGGAGGAGCAACTGGTGATTCAAAACCATGTGCCTTTGGGTTTGCTGCACAACGTTTTTTGGTTTGTTGATTTTTTACTGGTTTGCTTACAAAGTTGTATACATGTGTTTCACTCTTGTCTTTATTCATACTGTATTTCATACAATCATTCTCATACATTATGTTTTATAAAATTAATCACATTAGACTGTGCCCATCCTTACCCTGTCTTTTCACTAGGATCCTTTCCATTCATTCCCCCACCCCAAACTGTGCAACCCTGTGGTTTTACCTCTACTCACCCTCACCCCTCTGTTCCCACCCCTTCCCTCCCGTGGTTACCATACATGTTTTACAAGTTATCCTTCTATTTTTATAATGGTCTTAGCAGTATTTGTCCTGATGAGACTTCAGTTTGTTCACTCAGCATAATGTTCTCCAGCCTCTTTCAGGTTTTATGTAGTATTTTTTTAAATCGTTGCTCCTGAGGCAACACACCTTTTTACCACTTGCCCACCAGAGTTCTGTTTTCAGTGGGGCAAACCCGAACTGCTGTTTTTTGATGTAGCGTAGGGAGAAGAATGGTGGATTTGTAGTTAGAAGGGCCAGATTTAAATCTTACCTTCTTATATACTAAAAGTGATTATGATTGTGAACAAATTATTGGAGAGGAACCTGAGGTTCAAAGATGTTCATTGTTTATAATACCACTTCCCTTCCACTGTGACTGTAAACATCAAGTTCACTATTATATATTTACAGGTTTTATTAAATTAATTGTCCTGTATAGGATTGTTGTTAAATACCATTGAGTTGACTCTGATTCAACCCTTTGAACAACATTTCTGCACTTTGCTTTATTCTGTGCCATTGTCATGCTCTCACATACGCTTGAGCCCATTATAGCTTCTTGGTTTTTTTCATAAGGAAAATCAATACATTTAAAAATGTCCCTGTCAACTGTGATTAAAAGAAACTTTTTCTTATCTCTGTTCAGTAAAGCTTTTAAATATGTTTTAGATGTTGGCTTACAACTTTAAGTCATTGTAAACTCATAGCAAACCCATTGCTGGAGAGTTGATTCTCACTCATAATAGAATAGGAGAGTGCCTAATAGGCTTTCCAAGGCTGTGATCTTTTTCCCACTTTACCATATCTAATTGCAAAACACAATATGCATATGTAAATAAAACAGTTGAACTGGACAAAATTGTAGGTTTACTGTTTTGATTATGATTTCATATATTCACAATTTTGAAATTACCAGGTTTTTAGTACTAGTTCTTTAATGTCAAATTCATGTATTGCTTACATTTGTTACAAGAACAGAATGCAGATTTTTATTTATTATTCTCCAAATTGGTTTAATATCTAGAATTTTTTTATTATATTCTTTATAACTTGAGAGTTTTAAAAATAAACTTTATTTTAATTAGATTACTAGAATATAAGAAGTAAAATAATACTAATAATGGCATTTATCCCAGTTCTTAAAAAATTAACTGGATAGATCCTTGATGAATTGGTTAACCTACCTTAAGCATTAATTTCCTCAACTCTGAAGTGAAAATATCATCTGCTTCAGCTGGCCTTAGAAATTTTTATTTGGTTGATTGAAAAATGTTTTTATGTTGACTTTTCAGGTTTAAGCACTACTATCCTGCTTAACGAACTTGTTAAGATCTCTAGGATAATTATCTTTAGCAATCTTTTCTGGACTATTTTTTAAGGAGTCTGATGCTAATGATGATTTTTATATGAAGAGATTTTATCTTATCAGTGCTTGCTTCATATTTTCTATATTCTTTTTCTAATAGAATGTAGTCAATAGTTTCTGAAGAAAGTATCTAGATATTATATATTTACAAAATTGTGGATGAGTGGGCATTTCTTTTTCCTGACAGTTATTATTCTTGCTGATGTGTGCCACTGACTCGGAATTGACTCAAAGCTGACGCCCCTGCAGATTTTCAGAGGTGATAAATTGCATGGGAGAAGATTGCCACCTCTCCCTGCGGAGCATCTGATGGCTATGAACCCCATGTCTTTAGTTTGGCAGCGCAGCTCCTTAACCACTATAGCACTGTTGTTATGTTGTTGTTATGTGCCGTCTAGTCGTTTCCGACTCATCGCGACCCTATGCACAACAGCCCTAAACCCTGCTCTATCCTGCGCCAACCGCACCGCCGCTGACACACCCATCCCGATTACC